AAGACAAACAACTGAGTGCATGCAAATGAAAAAAATCGACAAAAGTGACTGCATAATCTTGACGGTTTAAACTATTGAAAGCAAATCTAAAGTCAAGAAATTGCCACTTAATCCTCTAATTTAGACAAAAAAAAAAAAAAAAAAAATTCAAAACATAAACACATTGTCGTGGTCTAGTGGGTTAGTTTGATTGGACTTTAATCCGTTGATCAACTCAATAGGCTCGGGTTGGAATTGTTCAAACTCATTGTTACCTAAGAAAATTGGCAACACAACCCAATTAGAGACGAGTTGGATTGGGCAGGTTCCAAAGGTTAGGCTTGATTAGTTTCTTTCTTATTCCTATTGTGATTATGAAAGCAAAGTAATCAATACTTATATAAAACAAGCCTAATAATAAATTTCAATATTCAAATCAAGCATTATAAAAAGAAAACTTTAACGAAAAGCTCATGGTACTGTTCACTTTAACGAAAAACCACATTTTTACACTAAAAGTCAATCATGGTACTATTCACTTTACCCTTTATTTTGTCCTTATCGTTAAAACTTAAAGTTTTCAAGCCATTTTTATTAGTTTTCCTTTATAAAAAAAAGTGCAATTAAAAGTTACTAAATTTTATTTTTAAATCTATGTAATAAATCAGACTAACATACTTTAACCCAATTTAACCCACCTATTAAATGTGTGGTCGGTTATACCAAAATTAAAGTTTTAAAGTTCAGAACCCAACCCAATCCAACCCTTGTCTAATGGGTTGATCGGGTTGGTCTGTAGACCCACTAAATTGCCCACCCCTACCGTGTAGTATAGGTGAGTGACTGACAAATTATATCGTGTGCGACTCCTCACAACGTTATTGTGGACCTCTCTAAGCCCCACCTGTTCAAATGCATAAGAATTATTTCGAAGTTACTACAATGCCGACCTAATACCTATATCGATCATTCCTTTTTTTTTTTTTTTTAAATTACCATTAAAAAAGAGAAAGGGAGAATTTGAAACTATTATAATAAACTTCAACATCCTTGAAGGGCACTTAATGTGACAACCCATCCCTACTTTTACAGTTTTATTAATTTTTAAATGGATGAATTGACGATAATGCCCTAGAAGCGAGATCGTTGACTTTAGTTGACCATCTTTTAGTAACTCGTACGAGCTATTATTTTATCGTATTCTCAAAGTACTCGACGATACAAACGTGTAGGTGCAAGCGGAATCAGAATCGAACCTACGGTTAAAATTTTACGAAACTTCGAGTACCGAAGATAAATTGATAAATTTCATATTTGGGAGATATTTTTGTGACTTGTTTTAGGGAGCCACGTGCGTGGCTATGAATGGAAAGTTAGGGAGAAGAAATGAAAGGGCTACTGCCCAATCAGAAAAGAACAGAAATGAAGATAGTGGTAGGCGAAAAATGAGAGAAGATGGAAGATGAGAGAGGAAGAAAAGCTGCCCAATCAAGGAGAGAGAGAAGAGAGAAAGACCAATAAGAAGAAGAAGAAATGAGGGGAAGGGAGAGAAGAGTGAGGCAAGGGATCATGGATCCCGCTCCCAAACCGTGCGACCAGATCTGGTTGAAAACAATGGAACTGTTGGTTCCTCAGGCCACATTCCACCAAATTAACCCAAGCCACCACCTAAAAACCATCCCACGACCTCCCCTCATCCATTTTTATCTATTAATTGGTGGATTTTAAGCCTAGGTTTTGTGATTTCGCATCGACGGCTTCGAAAGCACCCATGGTGGCAATCCGCCATTTTTGAAACAAAATCCATCAACCACCACCACCACTATTAGACTCTCATTGAGCCTAGGAACAAACCCCAAACAACCTTGGAGGTGGCAAAGCACCGGAGAAGCCGAATTGAAGGCCACCATTTTTAGAGTTTTCAGCGGGTTCGAGACAAATTGGAGCTTTTTCTGGCCAAATTGGACTTGATCACAGGTATAAAACTTGCTCTAATCGTTGAGATATTCATTTATGTAAAATTTGAGAATTTTTTAAAATAGTTGAATTTTCAGGCTAGTCGGGGCGGCTGATCGCCATGCGCGGCGGCGCGTGACCAATGGGTCGATGCTGCATTTTTTAGTTAAATTTGATGTTCTGATGTCAATTTGATAACCATTTGTTATAGTTTGATAGTTTGAACCAAGTATGGAATATTATGTCACTTGACCATTTTATGTTTCGACAATCTGACCATTGGACCGTCACTAAACTTTAACACTTTATAGTACATAATATTTGAGGACAATAGGAACTGACGGATCGGGAATCCGACTTACGGATCTTCTCGAATTGGATTCCTAAGTTCGTAAATAAAATGTTGATCGCCACTTAATTTTAGCAATTGGCCGAGATCCGACCATTGGATCATTCTGAAACTTTAGAATGTTGTTCTAGAAGCTTATTGAAACCCTTGAGAAGTTACAGATTGGAAATCCGAGGTGTAGATCTTTCGAATCGAGTTACGTAGGGTTATGGACCTTACCGTCGACCTTTGACCGACGGTTAACTTTTGGTTAATGGATTTCAAATCATTCTAGAACGTTCTTGGGGATATGTTTTATGTAAGTTACATGTTCTATAAAGAACTCTGAGACGTGATTTGATATTTGTTCTTGGCAACGATCGTTCGTGATGCCTCGATATTCGTGTTAGGGAATTGTAGTGCGGACTTCAAGTGAATGGGTCTTTTCCTTTTTATAGTATATATATAAACTTTATAGTTTTCACAAATGCTTTTGAATTGATTTATGCATATCATGCCATGATTAAATAATGTTATAAGATATGTTGCACTGTTGTGAAATGCCAAAATAATCGTACGGGATGCGCAAGTAAGTTTATTATGTTGACTAGAATTATTGCATCATTATGGCATGCTTATATTCATGTAGTCTGCTCATCATAGTTGCACCCCGGTGTTAGTGTTCGTCCCGGGCTAGGGTCAATCCTTCACCTGTATGTTCACCTTCAGCACCGCACACTCGCCTTGGATCCAAGTAGGTGTCAGTCCTGTCGTACATATCGCATTAGGTGACTCCGACTCATAGGTGACTGCGATTATCGCCAGTCTTCACATGATCGTAGCACTAAAGCGTATATTATGATTACACCCAGTCTTGTCGTACATGTCGCATTAGGCGACTCCGACTCATGTGCTAATATAGATTGATGAGCAATATGTTCAATCGTACATGTCATGTCGCATTAGGTGACTCTAACTGGTGTGCTAGCATAGGTTGTTGATCACTTAATTTTTCTTATATTACTGTTGAGATTTTTTGATTTTGGTATGTCATGCCTTATTTATGTTTTGCAGGCTACGGTAAGTATTTTCATACTATACGTAGTATGTATATTTTGGAAAATATACATGCTTTACGGTGAGGGGTTATAACATTTTCAAAGGTTTTTATTAAAAACTTTATTTTTAAGCCTACTCACCCTTATTTTTCGCCACTCCAGGTTTCAGTAGCTAAGCTTACGCATCGACGAGGACTTTTGGCAAATCTTAGTATTGGTGATTACCTTTAATGGTATAATTCTCACCCTATCCTTCTGTATTGTACTTATGCTTTGTCATCACATGTGAAATGAGTTCATTCCCGCTCACCAACGCACTCTTATGTTTAGGGACTTTTAGATTTAAATTTATTCACATTTTTCACATCACTACACTTTATGACTTCGTCACCTTCTAGGTGTCGGCCAACACAGCTCGATTCGGAGTCCAAGTGGACATTCCGGATCGGGATGTTTCACTTAATCTTAAGTCTTAACTCTTGTGCTTGGATGTTGTGGGACTCTAGTTTGAAATTATTTTTATTGAGACTTATTGATCAAGTCTCACACTTGGCACTTGGATTGTGGGATCCTCTAACAAACTTACACTTTAAAGAGTGACTCATATGAAACGAATTCATCAGTATGTGACCTTGGATTATGGGGTTCTTTAACAAAATTAAACGTTGAAGAGTAACTTATACAAAACGAATTCATCAGTATGTGACATCTTGATTAAATATACAATGTGATGTTAAGCGATTCCATTCAATAATACAATGTAATTGCCCGAGCACATCTCCACTCCGTACCGGGCAATTGACATTAACAATTTATTATTTTTTAAAATTAATAAAAATAAAAATATTATGTTTAATTTCAAAATCTGTTAGTTTTAACTTTTCTCCATTTTTTGTTGTTGTGTTTTTTAATAATTTTTAATTTTTTTTCCATATGAATGGTAGAGACCATTGTGTCACAATTTTTTGCAATCCAACATCTCAGGTTGTGCCACGTGAGCTCAACCAATTTTCAGATTTTTTTTCGTATTTTATTTATTTTTTATAAATTAAAAAAGATCGATTAATGTGGATCATCGAATTTAAGAAATTCAACGGCCCAGGTTTGAATAGAAACTGAATGCTAGCAGCGCGGGTCCCACCAACAATTTTTAGTTGGCTCAATCCCCATTCGTGCATGAAGGCCATGTGATCGTGGCTAACGTCAGACCTACTCAGGCAGACAGACGGGTGATAATGGTCTATTGTTTGGTGTGTTGGGGTTGGGCCCGTTGAATAACAACGGGGATTTGGGTGAGCTAGAGCAATTTTTGTTAGGGTAGCGGGATTGAACCACCCGATTTACAAGAAGATCGGAAGGGATGGAGTTGCTCTAAGCTGTGCAACACATGATTCACCGCTCTATTTAAATTTTGAAATTAGGGTTCTGGTGATGCACTAGAAAATAAAAAGATGGAGTAAATAGGAAGTTTCTAGAAAGTAGAGGCAGGGACTGTGAGTAGGTGGGGTCAATTTAGTGAACCCAAAAATGGAATAAGCACAGAGACGTGGACACACACACACTCGGATACCGACTGAAAACCCAGAGAGAGTGAAGAGGCAAATTCAATTAAAATCCAAAAAATTTAAAGAAAAGAAAAATACCCAAGATTTGAAGAGGACAAAAGAACCCCCAAATAAAACAGAAACCTCTGCCTCTTGGTACATGATTTTCTGTGTTTCCGTATGCATATAAAACTCTGAAATGTTTCACCAACCGCCACAATTCATTTGTAAAGCATCGAAAGAATAAAAATAAAATAAAAAATACGACCTCCAGTAGACCACCCGAGTCGATTTTTTCAGGCTTGCAAAATACCCTGTTTTTTATTCAAGAGAAAAATGGTGGTTCCCGACGGTGGTGAAAGTTCTGGCGGTGGAGACGGTGATGGGACGCCTTCCCGGCCATTGTCGTCGAAAACCCAGTTTCCAAAAACCAGCAATGGTTTGAAACAATCAGAGAACGAGCTTGATCAAGTCAAAGAAGAAGTGACCGAACTGAAAAAAGAGCTAAAGGCATTGACCTCTTCCAAAGGCGGAAACTTTGACCTCTCGTCTTCCTCGCCTTCCTCCGCCGCTCCGCCGAACCCAGCGGCGGAATTGCTCCACGTGAAGGAAGAAACAGTAGATGTTGTGGTTGTGGAGGATGATGACTTCGACGGTGGAGACCACGTCAACACCATCAACGGCTGTGGTGGTGATTTTGGGTCTTCTTCCATGGAGCTGCCTAAACCCATGGAGGGTTTGCGCAAGGTGGGCCCACCGCCGTTCTTGAACAAGACTTTTCAGATGGTGGACGACCCGGAAACCGATTCCGTCGTTTCGTGGAGTGATACTCGGCAGAGCTTCATTGTTTGGGACTTGTACGAATTCTCCAGGACTCTCCTGCCCAAATACTTCAAGCACAACAATATCTCAAGCTTTATTCGCCAGCTCAACACTTATGTAAATTTTCTATCTTGTTTTTTTACTAATTTACTTGGTTTTTACTAACATATGAAAGAAAAAAAAAGGTTGAATTCAGCTTCAAATTGTATGCATGTTTCTGATTTCAAGGATTATTTGGGTTGATAGACTTAGAGTTCAGGCCAGTTGGTTAGGATAGGGTGTCTAACTCTTACTCTTACATGATTTGTTTGTTGCATGGCCTTTTTTCCCCACTAATTTGTTAATTTTGCTTGAATGCTTATAAATTGTTCGTCATCTTGATTTGTTTAGGTCATCGAATTGAATCACACCTTATAATTTTTTTTCTTTTTTATCTTTCACACACCTCTCAATTTTCGGTCATCGGATTGAATAAATTGAAGTAGATAATGAAAGAAATTAGATGAGGGTGTGCGGATCCCTTTGTTTATGCTAGAGCTTTCGTAATCTTTGAGTATTTGAAAGATTTTGTTGAATGTTATGTTTTTAGGGATTCAAAAAGGTTGATCCGGACAGGTGGGAGTTTGCAAGTGAAGGGTTCCAGGGTGGGAAGAAGCACTTGCTGAAGAACATCAAGAGAAGAAGAAGGTATAACAAGAAGCCGACCCCAGTCGCTGCCCATTCAACCAAAGCCAGGTTGGAAGCCGAAATTGAGTCCCTAAAAAACGACCAGGACTTTTTGAGGTTGGAAATCTTGAATCTCAGACAACAGCAAAAGTACTCTCAGCATCAACTGACTGCGGTTGAACAACGAATTCGAAGTTCCGTGTGTAAGCAGCAAAGTATGCTCTTTTTCCTCACCAAAACCGCCATGAATCCCATTTTTGTGCAGCAGCTAATGCTGAAGAGAGTGATAAAGAGAGAGTTGGATGGAGGTGATCTAGGCAAGAGAAGGAGATTGTCCCCGGCCCAAGACATCGAAAGCTTTGATGAGTGGATAAATGCCAGCCTCAGTTTTGATTGTGGAGGCCAAATTGAGGAAGAACTGGTGCCTATGCAGTCTGCACTTGCTGAACAAATCTCAGAGGGAATTGCTTCCAAACAAAATGAAACCCCGTTATCATCTCCCAAAGTTGATAAATCATGTAATGCAGGTCAAGATCTAAATCCTTGTGTGATGGCCGGAACAAGCAGCTCGGAGGATGTGCCCTCTGCTTATGATGACATGTCCGATAAATTTCTGGAGGAGTATATAGTTTTCAATGATGAATGTGCACTGAACGACTCCAGTTTATACCAAGAATTGGAGGATTTGATTGTCAAGCCGTGCGATTGGAGCGCATATGTGAGTAACTCCTTGGTGGAGCAAGCTGGTTGCATTGGCTCAGTGCCTTGAATTTCACAGGTAGAATTCATTTATCTTCTCTTCAATATAACTGTGTGCTGACTGCGGAAAAATATAATCTGTTTCGGGTTTTTCGCTTCTACAGTATAAATCTAAGAATGAAGATGCAACCACAGGTGAATCAAGAACTCCTCAATCTTGTAAGACTTTTTGAGTTATGGAGTATTGTTTTGTACTTTTGCTGTATTAATCCCTAAGTTTTAAACATTTCTCTGTTGTACTGATTTTGCACAGCTTGGTTAAGAACGTAAACTCTGCATGGTACAAATATGTTCATTCTGTTCGCATGAGGGGTTCGGAAATGAACACTGCTTAGCTCCTTACATTCCTCTTTAAATGTAAATCACAGTGTAACGCAAATCAAATTTTGATTTAAATATTTGACTTTTTATGGGTAAAGAGTCAAGTATTTTCTGTTGGAAATTGTCTCATCTTTGGGACACAATCGCCAATCGGTGAACATATCTAATACAACACAATACAAAACTCCTTTGCAACCACATTTTACAAAACAATATTGTTATTTAGACACATAAAACTGATCACATTGCTGAAATATTTTTAAGTTTGTGTGTTAAAATGACATTATTTTTGTCAATGAGGATTGATTGAGTTTGTAAGAACCAAAATTGAGCTAACACGAGTTCGTAAGAACCAAAATTGAGCTAACACCCCTTTGTAAGTCTTTGAAGAGACTTGGTATTCCCTGACCTTAGGATGGGGTAGCCTTTTATCACCTAAACTTTTAGGATGGGGTAGCCTTTTATCACCTAAACTTTTCTTGATAAAGCACAAATAGTGTGCAGAGATAAGTTAACCCCAAAACATTATACATTATTTGCTCCTATTGCTATTCGAGTTCAGAGACGTTCAGAGACGAAAATGCAACAACTCGGGGCATAGTTAAAGAGCCATTGCTACAAAATTCATCTCATACTAACCAAGAACGTGATTATAATATTAACAAAGGTACATGATTTAACATAGAATTACGATCTAAAACGAACATTATACAAACGCGAAATCATCGCTACAAGAAGCGTTCCTATAATCTATGTATCAAAAGAAAGAAAGAAAAAAATGAAGAGAAGGTGAGAGAGAGAATGAACAGTCTACCTATTTGGTTTGGCAAAAACTATCTTATTTATTGATGGTGATCTTACCACCATTAGACCTCACCACACCTATCGATGTGGACGACGATGAAGAAGATATCCCGGACCGATCGAACTCCTCATTGTCCTTGTCGAATGCCTGGGTTAGTACTTCCTGGAGTTCCATGTACTTTCGTCTCTTCGTGAGCCGCAACTCTGGCATGTCATTCCTCACATATTGAAGTTGTGATATGTCATCACCGTCCATGATCTTATTCAGTACTTCTGAGCAGCGAGGAAAGACTGCAAAGCAATGAAAAATTTCAGATACTGAAACTTTAGCAGACGTGGGTCAGGCGAGTTTAAATCCCCTCCTCGTAGATTAGATTGATTTAATAAATCGTCTTATCAAACAAAGAAAAAAAGTGATGGATAGTACTATGAAACAAGATTATACCAGCTCGAGATAGAGCTTGTAGACGGTTAAGGTGCTCTTCCTTGATTTTGAAGGGTGCCTCGTTTAAGTCCACAGTCGTCCTCTGAGAACTGGCCAGATCCTTTGGAAACTCAGAAGCGCCGCCATCGATTTAGGAGATATCCATTACAACCTTGGCTTCCATGGGGAACAAATACTTTGCCAGTCCAATTGACAAGAAACAATCAATCAACAACACAATCAGATTTGATAAGGAAATGCAATCTAATGCAAGTTAAAAAGAAGAGCAAACTAACACTCTGTTCGTGGCAGGAATTTCTATCGGGGATGCTTCCTAGCCGACGAGCACACAGCTCCCCAAGAGGTCGGCGCCGGTTGAGGCTTTCTGTCGGGCTTCTGCTTTACTGGCGGGCTTGTCGGGCAAGGCCTGTCGGGCAAGGCTGAAAGAGAAGGACATAGTTAACTTTGAAATGTGCCTTTGTGGGGCCTTAGGTGTAGGCCTTGAGGCTCACAATCAAGATTAACTTTTAAGTGCTTAGGCGTGCCACTGCCATCTTCAACATGGCAGATGTAGAACGGAAGTTGAGTTTTAATTATATATATATTTGAGAGACTATGTTAGTTATTGACAGGTGCCTTTGTGGGGCCTTAGGTATAGGCCTTGAGGCTTCCTGTTAATAACTAACTTAGTACTCGAATACATAAGGTTCATTTTCTTGGTTGTATGAGTCTTATAACCATTATACTTCTGATTACCTGAGCCCGAAGAGCAGAATGAATCCAAATAGGTGCCTTTGTAGAGCCTTAGATAGGCCTTGAGGCTTCCCATCAGAACTTCTTCTATACTCAATGTTCTAGCCCGAGGAACAGGATGAATCCAAATAGGTGCCTTTGTAGGGCCTTGAATAGGCCTTGAGGCTTCCAATCAGAATTCATTCCGTACTCGAACGTTCTATGGTAATCATAATATAATAGAAATAAAACTAAGTGACAGGTCGATTACTTGCGCCTCAAGTAACTTCGGACTTCTTGTTATCAAATCTTGTCGTGGATGGGTTAAGTCCACATCAGGTTCTTTTTTATGCCTTGAGGCCAAGGACTTTTTAAGTAATCAAATCTTACATGCTCGAGGGCTTAGAACTTAGATCTGGCTTGAACTGTGAAGACATATTCAAATCGGATTCAAGTGCTGAGAGAGTCTTTTAATAGCCATATTACTAGAAATAACTTGGATACAACTTGTAGTATACAACATATTGCTAGGCTAATGAATGAAAAGATAAAAACAAAGAGGGTCGGGCAAGGCTGATCGTCTTGCAACTTCCTATCTTTGTGGTTTATCAGGAGGTTTGAAAGCTTAGAAAAGGGGTTGGGAGGTGAGTTTACAGAAGAAATCGATACTACAACAAGAGTTAAACAGGGTAGCAGAGCTATTACAAAGGGTTTACCCCGAAAATGATGAAGGCTTGGGCTGACTACATCTTCGTTTTGAAGGCAAATCTGGCTTTGAGCAGAGTTTGTGCTTGTATTTGTTGGTTTGTTTGAGTGTCCTTAACTCTTATGTCTCTTTCTCCTTTTATAGACACTCTGGCTTGGCCTCCTGTAGCAATAATCTTGCCCGAATGCAGTTTGAAGGATAGTGACTCATTAGCTATTTACTTGTACTGCCACTATAAAGTATTTTTGGGCTGATTAGCTGGCTGGTCTATACCACTTGGCCCTTGGGTAGGTGAACAAGTGGTGCAAATGATCTGCACCTAGTCGGGAAAGGCCTTTTTTGCCTTCTGGGCTTGGGCTGTGCTTTGGGCTTTTCTCCTCTTTTTGGGCCAACTCCCTTCTGAGCCCAAAGTTTAAGTTTTAACCCGAACAGTGCCCCCTTCAATCAATATTCAAACTGGAGTTCCAGGCGGCAATATTGATTAAACATCTGCATGCTTGTATACCCGCTCTTGGAACTTGTGTTTTTTAGACAAGATGCCTACAACCCTACGTCTCTTGCTCTTCTCACGACCTTTGGGTTATCCTCTGAGGTTTCTATAAATTCAGGCTTGATTTTGCTTTTGGTCAGCCAACAAACCTCCTCCAGCCTTCGCTTTTATTAACCCTGAGTTCTTTTGCCTTCTTAGTTTTCTTCCCAAAACTGAGAAATGAGTTCTTCAGGATTCAAGTGGGGTTTCCTAAAACTCCATTTTCGTGAGAAAAAGAGTTTTCATCAGATACCCACTATCCCCAATACCTTTGGTCAAACACCCCGCTATCTCCAACACCCTTGGTCAGACGGTTTCCTCATGAAGACTTGCCTTCCCGTTCGTCGTCACGATAAGTCAGACTTCACCATCATACATGGTGATGACTCTGCCTGAGGATCCTCTACCAAGCGCATCTTGGCCGCACAACCTAATCACCTGATCGGATTCTATCCATGAAAGCATCAGAAAACCAGCTGAGACACCATTGCACCTGGAAGGAGTCGAACGTAGCACATCGGAATTGAATTGAATTTGTTGTAAATTTCACCAATTTGTCGAAATGAAATAAACATTATCTTAACAATCTTATGTCTTTCTGTTTTCTGGAAGACTGATGAATATACACTGCACTTTAGCATCTTGAAACCTGCTTTACTTTGCATCCTCTTCAATATAACAATCCCTAACATCCCATAATGTAGGACAATACTTTTTCAAGAATTTAACATTAATAGGATGTTTCTGCCAATTCCTTTCGAGGTCCGCCAAGTAATATCCCCCTTTATCTAATACTCGACTAATCATGAAATGACCTTCCCATGTCGGGCTCCATTTTCCAAAGCCCCTAAGTTGAGCTCCTAGAGGAAGGACTGTCTTCCACACCAAATCTCATTCCTTGAAAGACTTTGCTTTCACCTTTTTGTTATAAGCTCGGGCAACAGCCTTCTTCCATTCCTGAATTTGGTTCAGAGCTTCAATTCGGGCTACATCTAAGTCTTCAATCCCTTGACACATGGCTTCGATATACTCTTCGCTGTGTAATCCAAACTGATTTTGAATTCTGATAGAACTTACATTGATCTTCATAGGAAGCACTGCATCTTGCCCGAAAGTTAAAGCATAAGGAGTTGTCCATGTTCCTGCCCTCTTAGAAGTTCTGTATGCCCACAAAGTATTCCCCAGCTTTTCATGCCACTTTTCTGGATTATCTATCACCATTCTTTTGATAATGTTTACCAAAATCTTGTTGCTGGATTCTGCCTGACCATTTGACTGCGGATAGTAAGGACTGGACTGGATCATCTTTATTTTGTATTTGCTTGCAAATTCTTCAACTTCTTTTGAAATAAAAGATGGCTCTCGATCCGTCATTATGGTTTCGGGCACCCCAAATCTATACAGAATCTTGGTCTCAATAAATTTTTTTACTGCAGCTGAGGTTATGGATTTTACAACCGAGGCCTCTACCCATTTGGTAAAGTAATCTGTTGCTACAATTATGAAAGTGTGCCCCTTGCTAGAAGCCGGGTAGATCTGCCCGATGAAGTCCATTGCCCCCAGATCCATCAAGATTTCCAAACCAATTATTAAGGCATCATACTCTGCCCGATTGTTGGTATTCCCTTGGTAATCCAAGAGAAATGAGTAATAATGATAAATCCCTTGAGGGTTGATAATTACAATCCTAGCTCCTGAAGCCTTTTGAGTATAAAAACCATCAAAATACAGCTTCCAAGGAGTAATCCACAGACCAGCCACTTTTCTTATCTCCTGCTGGATCCACTCCTCTTTGCCCGAGATCCCTTTGCCTGGCGGGATCCAAACATTAGTAACTTCCAGGGTTCCTGATATATTGATTATCTCATCTTGAGATTCTTGATGCCCCGCCAAGAAGTCAGCAATTGCTTGGCCTTTTAC